CTTTTTCAGTATTGGTGTTAGCTCTTCCACTGTTATTTCCCTGTCTAGTTCTGGGTGGCGGCAGTCGATGAACAAAGTTTCATTGATTATTCTAGGTGGAAAGACATCATTGTAGAAGGCCTGCCATTCATCGCACGTAATTACAACTTCAGAAGGTTGCTTTGTTTGAAGCCTTCTCACCAGGGACCAAAACGATTTCATGTCTTGAGCATTGTTAATTGAAAGTTGCATCTTTTGGAAGAAAAGTGTTTTCTTCATTTTAAGAAGATTCGCATACTCCTTTTTTGTTTTGATGTAGCTGTTCTCCACTCTACCTTTCGGTACCGTAACCAAAGTTTATAGTTGTCCCTAACTTTAGTTCTGTTGTCCGCGCATTCTTTATCGAACCAGGGCTTATTAAACCTTGCTCTATATTTAATTGTCACTTGCTTTGCCATATTTACCTGCAGGGCTGTTTCCTTAATTAGACTAATAAAGTTTTCAGAGGTGTGATCAACATCTTGTGTTTCCTCTGGGGCCAGAGTATTCTTTCCTGTAATGTTTCGCTATACCTTCTCTGAGTCCCAAGTTATAACTAATTGCGATGGTGCATGTTGGTTACGAGCATAGTCTTCACTTGTATAGTTTTTTGTTTCTGTACGCATTGTCACTACTACAGGGAGGTGATCGGATGTTCCAGCGTTAAGTACTTTAAAGTCCTCCATGTGAAACAAACCGTTCAAGTTGTGTCCAAACCATGTCGATAACTGTAGGTCCCACACCTCCGACAAACGTGTATTCACCTCTATAGTCTGATTTACTTCTTCCGTTGAGAACTACCATGCCCAACTCTTCCATGTTGTTGACCAAAAGTGTGCCGTTTTTGTTTCTACTCTCATCGCAAGAGTGTCTACGAGAGGAAAAATATGTGGTTTCAGTAATTTCTTCTGTCAACTGATTTGAATTACCTATCCTTCCATTGAAATCCCCGCCGACTATAATAGGTAATTGATGTATTGTCATAACTTCTTTTATTATTTTTGAAAGCAGCTCTAATCTATCTTCATAGCTATCATTTCGCAAGTACGTCAAAATTGTAATAAAAGGGAATTCTCCTATTGTTACCTTTATTACTATGCATAGCTCATTTTTTTCCAATATACTAATTTTATTGACAATTTTTTCATTATAAGTAATACATAGACCACCACTTGCCCGTCCTGTTGATTTTTCCTTTAGCGCGAATGATTCAATAAGAAAGTTCTTAGCAAACGGTGTAGAGCTCAAGTTTAAATCTTTACAATGCCAAGTTTCAACGAGACCAAATCGGAAGCAATTTTCTTCTCTCGTAAGTCCCGAAAACCTTCCTCCATCTTAGTAAACAGTCCCATCAAGTGGAGTAACTGTGTCACCTATCTAGGCGTCGTTTTCGACAGCACCCTAAACTGGCGGCTCTACATCACAACTACCCGTACCAAGCCAATGAGTACATTCATCGCACTCAAGCCTTTCTTCCGAAACGACTCCATCTCCCAACATACGCAAATCCGTGCGTTTAACGCAATAATCAGGAGCATTTGCTCCTACGCCATTCCCTTCTGAGGCTGCGACCTTCCTTACAGACTGAAACCTCTACAAGGCATCTACATGCAGATCCTTCGTTCCGCACTTAACTATCCCTGGTTCGTCAGAAACATCCAAATTCTGAAAGAAACCGGTTTACCTTCTCTCTCTGAGGCTGCAATCTCATTAGCAGAAAATCTTCGGGCCTCAGTGTCAGGCCACGCAAACCCCACCATTTCGACACTCTCCAACTTCGCTCCGAAGCCAAACGACCGTTTCTGAAGACCCTGTCACCTTCTACAGTGAGCCACTCCCTTTCGCTCACTCCTAGCTTCGTTTTTTAGTGCGAGTGTCCACCCATCACTTCCGAGGTGGACCACCTACTCCGACGGTTATCACCCTCTCCAAATCCCCCCACGCTTAACCATTTTCTCTTCTCAACCCTTTCGCAAATCCCAACCTTCCATCCTCTTCCCCGAGAATGAGTAACCCTCAGGGTTTATCTCCCCACTCCAGGAGGGATTTTAGTCGGTAAAAATCCGACACTACCTCCCTCCATGGGGTATCTTTTGAAGATTTCTACTCGAGAATAATCTAAAAAAAAATTTACCATCGCATAGCGTGGCGACCGTTGCCATGGCATATGTCGCCACATCAACAATCGCTTTTACCCGCAGCAATAGATGTTTCACATAAACAATTATCAAAGACCTTCAAATACTGGCGACGTTTCAATGAGAACCGTCTTTCAGTTCAGCAACAACCCAATTTTCTAGTAGAAGAACTAACAAATGTTGAACAAGACCCGTATGTTTATGACGAATACGGAAACGCCTATTTAGACTACCATACTCAAACGAATACAAGTGATTATATTATGAATTCTTCGTTGACTTATAAATATTTTTCGGATTATTTATATGAAGAACCCTTTGAAGTCAAAACGGCCCACGGATGTACCAAGGGGCAATATAAGTTATACGTTTCGTCGCATTAATTTATCATGCTGACTTGACTAAAATTAATGCCATTATAAATTATTCCAACAATACTTTGAATTACTGAACACACACAAATACATTTTCACGAGACCAGAGATAAAATTCTAACAAATATCACTTGCAAAATTCCAGTCAATTTACACAAAGGATCTTGTGTTATTCTTGCCCATGAGCGAATTGTACCAGGTATCTATAATGTAAATAACGGTTTTACTGAGGTGCAATGTCTCAATAATATTCGTATCAATGAGCCAATGGATACCCTTGACAAATACGTTTGCTCAAGGCCCCGATTGATGACAATTTAAATTGCGACGTAATTAACAACTCAGATTAGATCACAAGAACAATGAAGAAAAAAATAAAATTACGAAACTTGCGACACAAGTTACGCATCACATCAAGACAGCTGACGATTCTCCCGTTTAGTGAACGTAGGCCTCTTTCATTGGATGTGTGGTAGTATAACATCCTTCAGGACATTAATATAATATTCAGCATTGACCGTCTGCTTGTTTGGAACTACATGAGTGTATACCATACCGTATTAATCGAATAAAGTGATGATCATTGCCATGGCGGCGCTCTTGTTTGCTCGCACTTTTTTCAGTGGTGGTCCTACCGTTCTTGAATCGTTTATACCATGCGTAGCATGTTAAACGAGACACAGCTGATTCATCATAAACCACACGAATCATGGAAAACGTTTCTGTCTGTTTTTTTTTTTAGTTTAAAACAAAATTGAATAGCGTACCGCTGAGCTCTCAAATTTTTCTCCATCAAAGTGTAGTATAGGCGAAATTTTTCTGCGATTTTTCAAATAACTGTCACACACGAACTATACACAGCACCATGACGAAAAGAATACTACCGAAACCGGAATGAAATGTACCGCGTTTGGAGCGTTTCCAGTGTTGCCAACCGTAAAAAAAAAATCGCCCGAGTCTTTCGTATTTTCGCTAGTATTTCAGAAGTTTGTATAGTTGCTGGTATTTCGACGAAATTATATTCAGGTATACATATTATTTAGAATTTGCATACAAACCTAGCAAATGAAGGTTTATTACATGTAACTAACTATTGTTAATTTTACTATTGTACAGAGATAGTAATTCCATATTTACCCTTCAAATTGTGGTCTATTGTATGTGATAGCTACATAATATACCCTTCTCGGAACTTACCTACCACTTCAAACCTTATGTTAATTATAAGTTTATACCTACAATGAAAAAGAAGATAGAATCTGATCAACTACGTAAACGGTAACATCTGAACTTATCATTCTTGTAAATATATATTAATAAATAATTGTAAGTTAACTTTTGAAATTTTAATAAATTCACACAAAGTTAATTCGGTGTGTGAACTGTAGGTACGTCACAAAAAATAAGTCTACGCACAAAACGCTGCTTTCTTGCATGATTGACAGTTTTCCGTCTGATTTGTGTCTTCTCATTTTCTTTTATAGAAATCTGTTATGCATGAACAATAAATAAATGTTGATATGTCCGAAACTTCACCATTTTCGAGAAAACGCAGTTGAAAGTATAGGTGATTTCCATTCCGGCCCTGATATACCAATACAACAACGCAACGTCGTGTTCAATAAGCTGGGAATTAGCAGCATTGACGTTGTATTTCTTTTGCTCATGGATTATTTATTATTTGTCAGATTATATTAAGTATAATTCACGACGTTTATGTTACAGCTCGCCTGTCAATGTTATTAGTCCTTTTAACGTTATCAATCGCTCATTCGCAATTAGGTCAGTGTGCCACTCATTGTTATTACAATGGTGTTTAGTACAGCAGAACTTTGTGATATGATCCTTATATATGACGAATGTAAATACAACATTAATGTAACAACTGAGTTGTACAGCCATAGACATCCACAGCGCATATTTCCACACCCGCGAACCATTTTAAATGCGGTACAGATTGCGAGAACGCTGACTTCTTTCATACGACAGTGTAGCGAATTTTAAAAGAGCAGTTGCTGCATCCTTATCTTTTGCAGGGAGCCTTACTTGAAACGGATTTTGTTGTCAGTCACTTGACTGTTCGTACAATCTCTTCAATTCGTAAGACTGAGCCACTATAATTTTTTTTACCAAAATATCTAAAATTGTAAGTTTCTTTCGACAACATCTAGATTAATCGATCATATCAAATTAACGCAGGTATGTAAAACTGTCTTTGTTTGTATAGAACACTTGGTTAATTTTTTTTAATTATTTAAACAGGATTGTAAATAACATCGTAGAGAGAGACGAAACCTGACCAAAATATAAAAAGTTATTTCAGTGACCTTTTAATTTGTACCCAAAAATCCTAATAGCAACACATTTAGCGATTCGTTTTTATTGATATAGATTTAATCCACTTCCCTACACATTAGGTAGGCATATAGGGAATATTAAAAAAATCCTTTAATCAACAGAAATACCGACATAAGAATGGAAATTATAATTATGTAGATATTACATTTAATTTAATTTTGAGTATATAAACACAAGTTTCTACTAACGGTATTTCTATAAACTTCATTTATCGTCAAAAAAGCATAGTAAATATTAATTTTAAATAGAAGCCAATACTGCGTTGCCACTATTTTCAGTTTATCTATAATCGAACGGGCTTTATCCATTTTATCTCCATAAACAGAGCGTATGCAACAGCATGACATTACTTTAAAAGATGCCATACGATTACTGGTATTTAAGGTATATTCAATTCCTCTCATTAAGTCATTTGTTTTAAAAATCAATATCATTTGACGATTAACGCATTCAAGAATTTCATTAATTTTGGGCAGAACAGTAGGCAAAATATCTTGCATTATTTTCTTCTCCTTGAGACTAGGTTTTTTCCTACAAACAAAAACGTTCATTACTTTCGTAAATTTTTTTATCGTAATATGAATAATACAAAAGGTGTAAGAAGTAAATACGGAGGTCATTACATAAATTGATACAATCTCTGGAAGCGGGGAGATGTTAGCAAAATATGCGAAATGGAGGCTACCCCAACACCCAAAGTGTTTAGAAAAAATGCTAAACGCTATATCTTTGCATATTTGGATGCCTTTTAGTGTGTATCAATACTACACATATCTAATTCCAACACCTGAAAATTACTCCTTCAATGTTGAATTTACATGTGTACCAAAGAACTATAGATTCTGATGTGTGTAGTAGCCTGCTTTATGGCTTATCATTTTTTTCTAAGGGTGCCTTGAAAACGAATTTGCAAAAAACTGCTTACTTGCAAAATTTAATAACAAGATGAATTTTAATACAATCGCTTCGGAAATTTTTCCATTAGAAAATCAGGATTTTTTAAAAGAAAGAAGTTCTGTACGACACAATTTATGAAAAATATCGATAACTTACACATTGATTTTCATTTTAGTATTTGCNAGATTTGATAATGTGGCAAATAATTTTCAAAAGCGACGTACTTTAATTAAAATACTTGCAGTCGTCAGTTACTGGTTGGAGTAACGATACGTTGTATACGGAATGTTCCATCTTTTCTGGGCACTAGCTTGACACCGTGTCACCTTCTTTATATTCGGGAGCCGGTCTCCGATTCTTATCATGATATTGTTTTTGTCAGTCTTACTCCTTTTCGACATTTTGTTTGGCATTCAGTAAATCCGTTGATAATTTTTCTAAATACGGTGTCATCATCGGAACTATATTTTCATGAATTACTATTTCACTGAAATTATGTTTAAACTCGTACAGGATTCTCAACTCAGGTACGAAAGTTAAATATTCCGGTGAATAATTGGCGAATATTGTCACAATTCATGTATTTAAACCGAAACATTGCAAACGGTCTCACGAACGCGCTTTTGTCCCTATCACACTCACGGATACCGACTTGATAATAAACGGATTGAAGATCCATTGTGGACTTAAACTTCGTTTTTTTGGCGGATGTTAGTCTTTAATTATCACGTCATTCAGGCTACAATAATCTACGACCATTCTGTAGTCGCCATTTTTCTTTGGGAACAACAATGCTGGAGCAGCCCAGGGTGATTCACACTCTCAATAATGCCTTGTTCAAGTAAGTGGTCCACAATCCTATGGAGAGCTTATAGTTCATTTCTCGGATTTTAAAGAGTGGAACCGCAATTGGAGTCTGTCCAGGTTCAGTACTAATGTCCTGCATACGGAGTGGGGTCTCCCCCTGGTTTAAATATGTCTCCATTTTGGGACAACGTTTTCCATATCTAGTATTTCTCTTCTTCATTTAAACCATTACCTTCATTACTCTTCAAAGTTACTGTTGAGTTCATTATTGGGAATTACACCGCTAACGAACTCCTACACGTGTTTCTGGTCATGTCGAAAATACCAAACTTCTTGATCGGGATCGATAACAATGTCTGCTTTAGTTAAGAAATCAATTCCTAACAACGTATGATTGTTATGTATTGTAGGCAACACCAAAAGTTTAACATTTTGTTTCTTATTTATGTCTACCGCCGTAACGAGTACGAGGGTTAATGTTATTGTTCGCGAATCAAACGAGCACCTGTCATTCAATAATTTGCATAGGTTTCTGCCAGCTATGTATTTTGTATTCCCAGTATCTGCAGGCCCTTGCATGTCAAAAATTTCAATTGGCAAAACTGGTGTATAAGTTGAAGTTTTGTTCTCAGATTCCCCGACTTCAGTACCATAGACGCTGCACAATTGACTTGTATGTTCGTAATCGGTTTGGATGTAGATTTTGAGCACTGTGATCATATTACACTGGGTGTTTCACAACTGTAGCACGTTATTATCGGATGATTTATAGTAAGTTCAGCCTGATCACCTTTTTCAGGTTCTGATTTCTATTCGTCTCGTTTCACTTAACTACAACACTACGGCCAAATATCCAATTAATTATTAAATTAATGCAGGGATATGAATGGAATTTATGAATTTTGTAAACAGTCGCGAAAAAATTATAATACGAAAAACTAATTTTTGTAACTTTACAAGCAAATTCAACAATGAAGAAGTGATTTTCAGCTGTTGGAATTTAGGTACAATAAAAATATATACTAAAAGGTACCCCCAAATATGCAACGATACCGCGGTTATTTGTTTTTCTTAGGAAACTCCCTTTTTGTACCCCAAGAACGAGTAAAACTAGCACTCCACCAGGTGTGGCCAGAATACTCTTTAGGAGTCTGGTGTGGTTCTGTTAGGTGGGGAGTAGTGACAGAGCTAAAGTTTACGTTACGTAACAGATATGATATGTTGCATCATATATCTCAATTTCGGTGTTCAGCAATATCACAATACACTTCAATGTTGATTAGAAATTGTAACTATTAATTTAAAAGTGAATTACTATCTAAGAACAAAAGCCTTTAAGGGCCGGAATCCATAGTAGAATGAAGATTCGGGCTATAGGGCCCTGGTCCAAGTGATCTGGGTGACCCAGTCGCTGTCGATACTTCGAGATCTACGTTGACGTTGTCAACGCAGCACTACCACTGAGGATGTCAGCCGCAGTAGCCGACGAAACGTCTGGACAGAATAGTTCACTTAGACCACGGCCCTATAGCCCGAATCTTCATTCTACTATGAATTACTATCGTTTATTACTGGAAATTAAGTCTTTCCTTTCTAAATTCAAGCCCGAAACTTTTACAATGCATGTGTTACATAACGGAATGGAGAAGGGAGAGATTAGGAAGTCCTTGAGGTGCGGTAAAAATTTTAAAAATTTCAAATTTGACATATCAAAATTCAAAATTTTACTGAATGTCGGCGTAAATGAAAAGAAAACACGAATGAAATGAACAAAACGGTAATCTGGCAAGATAAAACCAAAAAGACCGCCAAAGTCCAGTATTCAACGATCTAGACACAATCTAGAAGTATGAGAGTGTAGAAGAAAGTGACATAGGCAAACTAACTTTATAAAAAATCAACGCAGTTTGTAATTTAAGAACTTTCGTTGATTATTGTTGTTGAAGTCAGTGTAATTCGGGGTCGCAGTAGAGTTTCAAGTGCTTTATAACGACACCTCGAACGGTGTTCTTTATTTATTAGTTTCAAAGATGAACGCAAACGTTAATCGCTTGATTACTCATAATGTTATCTTTTTTGCGAATAAATCGAAATCCCCCATTTAATTTAACACAAATATAAGAACTAATTAATTGGCATAAAACATTTTGCTTTTAGTTCTTTTGGGGACTCAAAAAATTCTATTCAAGTAATATGGGGTTACAAGAACAGAACATATGCTTTTTCATTAAAGCATTTGGTTTGTTTTTTTTTTAGTAATTAATAATTAAAGGACAAAAATTTTATATTTTTGCACTTTTTTGCCTGCCAATAAAAAATAAAATATCAAATCAACTTTTTGGGCTAAAGAAAGGTTAAAGCACCCTATGACTTTATATACGGAAAAACATTAAAAAAATTCATCAAATAGTTTTTGCAAAGTTGTAATTGTTTATCTGAAAGATGCCTTTATTATACTGTACGCACAATAATAGAAATACAACAGTTTTACAGATATCCCATGAAAGGGGGAGAGTTTTTGCATCAAGTTCAAATATTGAATCTAAAAAATAGAATTCAGGCCACAAACGTACTAGCTGAACATTCGTATTACTGTCAGGGAGACTTCTGACAAGCTATTGTCAGAAAAGAGGATCATATTGCTATGTTGCTGATGTCACCGTGCTAAGCATACGGAATCTTAGTATGGCGGCTAGTTTCTAGTTAAATATCGGTGCTTAGCCAGTTCTCCAATCAATTCGAACCGAATTGTGGGTGAGTGCGTTTAACAATGAGTACAGTGAGTGCGTTTAGAGAAGTTTAGAGGTAGTTAAGATTAAAACTAAAGTTCCAAAGCGGTTATAGTAAAATAAAATAAGAGAGGAGTTAGAAGGCTTTAAAATGGTCTCCAATCTAAGGACCGCAATCCAAAGAATTGACCTACAAAGATACATAAGAAATATTCTGTTAGAATTAAAATCACATGAAATTAATCTCAACGTTTAGAAGGGCGAAGTCAGAAAAAAGCCAATACGGCCGTAAAAGAAAAGTGGTGAACAAACAAGGGGCGAGCGAGTATTAGTGTACACGCGTAAAAAGTGAAACTTCTTTAGATTGTATATCATAGTGGTATTTCTAGGCGTCTCCTCTTTGTGCGGATCTTCGTATACTTTTCCGTCTCTTCCACTCTGCTTAAGTTATTAGAAAAGGGCAAGGAGTTTAACAGATTTGTTAGTTCTACGAGTTAACATTCATGCCGAAACTCTTAGTGTCCCATAAAACGTTTCAGTTCAAAAATAAAAGGGTAAAACAAACTTCTAATGTAGTTAGAGTAAATGAGAAATGGAAAGGAAATGGGAATGTTTGAAACGATGTCCGGCAATGACGAGGAACTGATAGTTTCGTCACAGCACTCTCAGACGAGATAAGTGGGCAGGCAGAAAACAAAAGAGGTTAAATTACCTTGTCTCGTAACAGTTAAGTTAAACAAAGTAAATATTCTAAACGAGCTGTCAGAAAACAATATATAAACGAAAAGATGGTATGGACTACAGGAAAACGACAGATTACTAAAAGCGGCTAACATAAAATACTACACAACCAACGAAGAGAATGACCTACCAACAGTAGTAAAAGAAATTCTTGCAGAAATAGATACCGAAGACGAAAAACAACAATTGAATAGGCAAGCACTGCAATATAATCCAGTATCACTTATGGTTAGTACATATAAACGGTTACCTATGGTCCCAATAAATAGTAGTAAAGACGAAAATGATACGAAATATATATAAATTAGAACACATTGCACACATGAAGGTATATGCAGAGCCGAAATGAAAGCCAACAGAATCAAAACAATTTACTGTTATAAGAAATTTGGGCACGTTGCTTTTAGAATTATATGAAACCCCGGTAATGCGTAAAATGTGACAACAAACATTAATTGAAAAACTGCACATGTAAAACAAAGGTAAATGTGCAAGTAGCGGAATGAATCATCTTATTTCAATTTGAAATTGTTGATAAGAGATAAGCAGAAACAACGAATAGATAGATGCGATAGAAACGAAAATAAAAGAAGACCAGCTGCTGGAAGCTAAACTAACTAAAATCTTGGAGTGAGTGCTACCTACTGTATTATTAAAATTACATGGTAAATAAACCAACATTACTGATGAACTAGAACTATAACAAAATAAAACTGAAGAAAAATTAACTGATACGTTTTCTTCACAACATTGCAGTCGCATGTTTATCATAAACATAGTTAAATAGGGAGGATAGAAATCGTAACAAACATATTGTGTGGTGAATATAATTTAAAAAAATAGGAAAGTTGCATAAAAATTAAGACAATAATAGAAAACAAAGAAACGGATATCGAGGCTAAAAATAAAGCTAGAAAATTTCAAACACACTTTCTTAGAAAGAGTAATAATAGCAGGCGAACCCAGCAACTGCACGAACAAAAAAGGGTTAGATCTCCATAAGGCTGCGACACGAACATAAATGGACCAAACACAATCACATTGTTGCCAAACATGTACAGAATGGGTGACATATTCCTGACAAAAAACACAACTATTTCAAATATAAATTGACAAGTTGTACTATTCACTTTCTCCTTTTGTGTTGCTTTTCTGTGGAAAAATAGTCCTAACTTTAATAAGTCTAAGATTTTTTTTTAATTATCATAGCACGTTACCTAAAGAAATCGTAAGCCCGTCCGGTTCGCTGTTATCAGACGATGTTTGGACAATGATTAAACCTTGAATTCTCTAAACATAAATTAAATTCAACAACGAATAAAATTATTTATTTTACTCCCATTAGCTAAACCGACGGAACTTGGACCTTGACAATGTCCTTGTACAAACTAGAGTAGGCGGATCGGATTGAGCGTTTCAATAATTTAAGGAGTCGGACGATACTTTCAACCATAATCACGAAGGGGGTTCTTAATGAGAAACCAGACTAAGACAATGCCTTGAAAGAGGGCAGCAGCTCTTAAAGTACGCAGGGTGACAGACATAGCGAGGATCGGTATGGTACTGTATTGCACGGCAACGGGTAACCACCACATGATGACTTTTCGAGTACAACAAACCAAAACTCAAATGATGGCATCCTCTGGAATAAAGCACTATGGACGTAAACTAGTCTCCCATCGGATGTCCGGATGAGAAATACCTCGAGGGATGTCTTCAAATGCAATAGAGGAAGGAGTCTGAGCGTAGACTGTTAGAAGAATGAGGCAAGTTAGAAAATTGAAATGGATAGGTTAGAATTAGATGCAGTTGACATTAGTGAAGTCCGCTGGCCAGAAGCTGTAGGTTTAGAATAATACATACAGGATAGGTGGAGGGTAATTCGAGGGAGGAATTGTAATGCACAAGAAAACAAGACAGAGTGTAGAAAGTTATTAACAAAAACGTAGAAGACGTCTTAGAAAAGCTAAGATGTAACGAAACGCGTGACAGGCTGGGTACAAGGACAGATGAAATACTAAAGGAAGCGAGAGAAACGAATGACAGGTACATACAGACAGAATGGAACTGCATTAAAACGTGCCTAAATTAAGCAGCTACATATATATTAAGTCTTAAACAAAACGAAAGTAGAAAATCCTGGATAACAAACGAGATTGTAAGACTAATAAAAGAAAGTCACAGCAGACGAAGAAGGGCAAAAATCATATCGACATTTAAAAATAGACATTTTAAAGCCTTTTTAATTCCCTACAAAGCGGTTACTCCGAATAGTTGATCTAACACTTTATTTTTTACTGGTAGGCAAAAATATCATTTTTTTACTTTTAGTTGTTAGTAACTAAAAAACATACCAAATCCTTTCAAGAAAAACATGTTTTGTTCCTGTACGCCCGTACTACCTGAAAAACTTGTCAGGTGTCTAAATTCCTGACAAACATTTCCTAGACTATATTTAAAATATATTTTATTTTCTCAGTTTACCTTGTAATGCCTTCCATCAATGAATCCCAAGTTCGTCCTGAGATCATGCAAGCAAATAATCCATATATGTCTCCCTCTATTCCAAGATTACGACTGTGTGTTTTCATACCCTGTTTGTCTTTATTTAAAATACTTAGCCAAAGTTGGGAATATTCTACTCGTAAATCTTTGCTTAATGTCTGAAATATACGTTTTAAATTATTGATTGTTAAAGCATTTAGACACAATTTAAATACATGCATTTCATCACCTAATGAAGCTACTATAATAGTTTCAGAATATATGGATAAATCCAACTACAAGTACTGAAAAAAATTATTTAATTGCTTGCAATTCGACCAAAGGCTAATAGCAAAGACATGACAACATGAAATGACGCTGAAAAGAGGAGACGTGATTTTGTTCTGTTGTAAGTCTTGTTGCTTGCAGTTTTAATAAATAATTTAAATGTATCAAGATTGCACAAGCAACTTAAATAATAATTTATGGATACTATGAAACAATACAATACAATTCCCGATCGGTTTGATTGCTAATGCCGGACTGACTTCTATTCTATTGATATGATTGTTAGGCTATTGAATAGAGATTTTAGTATGAAACTATTACTTTAATGGAATTTTATGATTGAATATGGTAGTCTGACCTCTAAAGATGATAAAATTACTAAGTGCTCCTTTTTTGAGGGGTGCGTTTTTGAATTTTTAAAAAAGGCACCCCCTTTCAATATTCTCCAATTAATTCAAAAACGACGCAATTTGCAACTACAAAATAAGCACGGGTATAATCTTGGGTTCGTGACCTTAAATTCTTAAAACTGCTGACATTATTTCCCTATACAAAAATGGTAATAAGTATTGACTCAACAATTTCAGACCAATTTTGCTTAAATCAAGTATTGCTGAATTTGACAATTTCCTGATAAACAATTTGCTTTTCAGAAAAATCTTGGAACAAAAGACGCTCTCGCGTAAAACATACATGAATACAATGATGTGATTGCTTTCTTATACATTAGGAAAACATTTGACACAGTCAAACAGTCTTTTTTCAGAGAAACTGTTTTCGTCTGGCATCAGCGGAACTGATCTTGACTTACTCAAAGATTACTGTAATGTTCGTGGGTTTAATAAATTAACTTTTAGGACAAAAACTATTTATTTACACTAATTATTATTGAACTTAAAAACACTATTAAATTATTACTAAAATTAGGTAATTATTCTATTTATTTACACTAGTGTTGATATATCACTATTCACTGTGCTATTTATTTCATTTCTATCACTGTCAATTTATTTCTTGATTCACTTCTGCAACGGTCAATTTATTTCTACTCTTCTTCGGCGATCGTCTCTTCCTTTTTATACTCCCTTGCCTCCTTTCGGGAACGTTCTCCAGCCGTCCAGAGAAGTCTCGTTTTCTTTGAACGGTTTAATTGCTTTCCCGGAACGCAGGTACGACACACACGTTTACAGATACGGCGCACATGAAGAAAAGCGCCCGCGGCTAGTCGATGAATCGATAAGCCGCTCACACACACGCATGGCCGATCGCACACAATCACGCTCGTGGTCGCTACATTACCATACAAACTGAACTCAACGAGTTAAAATTCGTTCTGTGTATAGTAAAAGGAACGAGATGTCTCAAGGAGTTTTGTACCTTGGAAGACAAGTTAATCGATTTAAATTATTGTTAAGATTCTATAATCGAGGCCATATTAGAGACCGCTACCGAGACTGAGTTGCAAAAGGAGTACGATGAAGCGGAGGAGTACAAGCATAGGTTTTTAACAGCCAAACATTTGTTCACCGAACGTAAAATGGGTGACAGCAATTTAGTGCAAAATTTGGTTGATTGCGCGATTGTGTCGAGTTCTTTTTCGAACGGTGAAAACAAAAGTTCTTTTAAATTACCGTCGATAGAAGTTGTTAATTTTAACGAAGACATTCGCGGGTGACTGTCTCAAGAAAATCCACGAGGACAAAAATATGGACAATGAAAACAAGTTGATAAAAAGTAGGTTCAGTCAATACGAACTTTTAAATGAAGTTTACATGCGCGAATTGTTGCAACTTGTGCTGCAAAATGATATTAAAACATTTAAACTGTATAAAATTAATAAGAACATTCCGAGCGCGATGGGTTTATTATGTATATTTTGCAACACCAAAGACCACGAAAGTGAGGGTTGCAACAAAGCTAAACGAATGAGATTATCGAGTAAACAAGAGTATGTGAAGAGAGCTCGTGCGTGTTTTAAATGCCTTAAAATCGGGCTTCAAATCGTATCGAGTCCGCGTAAAATGTTTGAGATGTGAACGAAGAGTTTGATGTGTCCAGACGAGAAACCAAAAAAAAGGGATGAAATTGCGAGTGCAGACACCTCCGCGCCAGTATAGAAAGAGTTGAATTGTATCGCGAGCATTTCTAATAACAGAATGGTGTTTCTGCAAACATTAAAAGTAAAAAATTTACAGCGATAACAGAGAACTGATTGCGCGCGTATTAATTGATAGTGGGTCACGAAGATCTTAAGTGACGAGAGAAATAATCGGAAAATTGGATTACAAATCGGTGGATGAATAAAGACTAAGTCATATGCTTTTCGGTGGTGCACAGTCGGAAGTTGTCGCTCACAAAGAATATCGCGTACGAATGCAAAGTTTAGAAAACTATTTTGCTTATAATTTTATCGCGCTGGACCAAGAGGTCATTTGTGGTCGTATAGAACCTTTTGAGAACGAAAAGTGGCTTGACGAATTAAACGAGTTTTCTTATCGTCTGAACTTTTATAGATACCTACTTTCTTTTAGTTAGTTTTAGTTCTTTATTGAGCTAGTTGTATGTTTATCAATACAGAATTGTATAAGAATAATAGCAATGCAACCATTACTTGAATTACATTTCTGCGCGCCTGATCTATCAACGCACAGCCCAAACTACTGGGCCTAGAAACTTGAAATTTTGGACAAACGTAAGTAAAACTAAGAAAAGATTAACTAAAGAGGTGAATAGCTAATGTAGCATAAATATATAGAACCTTCAACAAATGGGATAAATAAAAAAAAAACGAAATCCGTTAATAAGGATCGTAGGTGTTGAGTATTCTGATGATTTAGAGATTCCAAGCGAGCAAGATCTCCTTCAGAAAAATGGACTAAAAGTGGATGATTTACGTGTGAATCATCTCTTAAAACCTAACAATAAAAAGTTAATGAATAAAATAGCCAAAGTAAACAGAAATCCATACTCCATTCTGATGATGTAGAATTTGTTATGATTTTAATTTAACAAGGTGTTGCAAACATAAAGATAATAGAATAGGTAATACTTAGGCAAACCTGTACCGCCACTCGTGCTAATGAAATATTAAGAAGCCACTCTTACACATGACGGCCTTAAGACCAGAATCAGAAATAGCATCAGTTCACCTACTGACCGCGAAAGCCTTTACCAATTTGTCAAAAAAAAAAGGAATGCTTGCAAACTCCTAATGTTGCAATCTCAATTCAACTACTACATCAATCGTTTAGTTTAGTTTAGTTTTAAAGTTATTCTGCTACTGTAAAAGTTGTTTTTTAATTGGGTGTGAAGTGTAAATGGATCACAAAGTTACACGACGCATAAGCTTCGTATATTTTGATATACAAAAAATTGAAAACTGTTTAATTCATATAATCAAAACCCAAAATGTAACAATAAAATGATTACAAAAAAACAACTTACTGCGTATAGACCGTGATCTAAAAGAACGATTTCACAAGATCCATCTTCTGCTTTTTTTAACAAAATATTTCCTGGATGTGGATCACTATGTACAAATCCATAAATAAATATCATACGTGAATACAACTTTCCAAGTTTATCAGCTATTTCGAATCTATCTAATCCATTTTTATTGATGTACTCTAAATCATTAATTTGCCCTCCTTCAACAAAGTCCATAGTAAGAACTCGAGAAGTTGTTAAATCCCATCTAGGAAAATAATAATTTATGAAAAAATATCAGTCTTTAATACTTAATAATAATAATAATACCCTGTTAAAAATAACTTTCATCCCACTATAAATTAGTATTAAAGTTACAAACAGAATTAATTACCTATTTCTAAAATATTACATAGCTAGCTGACAGTCAATTAATGTCGTGTTAACTTTTAGCTAAACTTAATTTAGGATTTACAAAAAAATTATTAAGTTCAATAGTTTATTATTATATTTAAGCAAACTTTTTATTTTAATCTTTTAAATAAAATCAACATTTGCTCTCTTTGACATAAATTATCTTGAATGTCGGATTAAATCCGTGTTCTTCGATAATGTATGTCCCAAATGAAGTCATTTGAAAACAATCATTATATTTTTGAGTGTTCGCTAGGTAATGCCGTAATTCTGGTGTTTTGCCACAAAGTAATGAATGCAAAGACTCAGTTGGCGGAGTCAATAAGGGCAATTTCATTTGCCATTCAGGAAACACAATCAAGACGTTTATCCAGCAAACTCCAATGCGTCACAATGCTCGCAAACAATGTCCATTGGACTAATGCGAACGAAAGACTGCGAATTGTAATTATTGTGTAATCGTATAGAAACGCTGCTCGATTCAAGTCAACACCTGAAGCATTTCTTCTTGTGAGTCGAAGATTACCTCGTTTTTAATTTGTGCAATAAACCCGACGATTCTCATTACCAATTGAGCCTTTAAACAGGCTGCCTCTATCTGCTCTTGTGTTTGAGAAGCAAAAGGTGGGGTCCTACCAAAGCGGGGCTCTTCTCGTGCGATTTGTCATTCTTCTTCTGTGGATTAATTCGCAATGTTCCGAGAAATCACGTTAAATCTGAGCAATATATCGTTATATGGTTCTAATCTTATTTCCTTTATTTTGAATTGTGTTGAGTTTCTATGACACTCACAATTGAACAAAGATGTACGATGTACGTTTTCTTATGGTAACCCATGTATGTGTAGCACCAATGCTTTTGTCCTACAAATATTTCTCTTTATGTCTTCTGGCATATGTACTCTGGTAAGGTTGAGTTCTTTATGAACCCGTTAGTCTTTCTAATAAATAAAGGCCTGAATCGGGGTTTTCTTTAGCGAGCGGTAGGTTATGGCATCCAAAAGTTGTTGAAGTTTCATATTGTAGGTGTTCAAAATTACCGTAACCTTTTTTCTCCTCGCTGATAGCATCAATCTGCATGGATCTTTTTTAAATTTCTTAAAACCTTCAATTATATTGTAGTTAAGTTGGCTTTTGGATTTCTTGCTGACTATCTTCGGATCTTTTCTGATTTCTTCATCTTTCTGGTAGATTTCGTATAGCTGCTTCTATGTTAGATATTATTTCCTTTCTTAGTACTTTTTTAAAAACTATTGTAAAATTATTCCCTTTAGATAAGACACTGATTTGCTCCGGCGTCAGAACCCTGTGGCTTAGGTACGTTGATGATGTTGATGATATTGATTTGGAGCCACGGGTAAAGAAAACTTTTTAATTAATTAATTTTAATTATTTTTTCTATAATGAAGATTTTTGCATCGATTACAGTGAAATTTTGATACAAGTTTAGAGCTTCGGACATAACTGCAAAAAAAAACTTGTAAGACGCCGAGGTTGATATCAAAATTGACGAACAGAGTAACGGTATTAATAATGCCGAGAGAAATACAGAACATTCCGTTGATAAGTGTATCATTCATTTACCGAACAACCTCAAGTGAAAATCACGAAAACATCGGAAAAACTCCATATTAATAAGTTGGGAGTGTTGATAAAACCTTTAAGTGCGTCAAAAGTAGTGATGTGGACGAAAGATGTGTCCGTAATTCCAGATAACTATTTAGGGCAAAAATACTGAATTGTGCATCAAACACGAAATTCGAGGAATCGGCGGACTAGTACTTAGATGTATCCTATCCACCGATGTCGACGCCGTTCTCCTTGTGCTGAACGCCAGTGGAAAATTGGTGACTAAGTTTAAAGAAGACGAAAAAGTCACGCGCTGAAAAGCGTGCCGAGAAGGTGTTGTGCTACAGGAAATTAACAAGTTAGCAGCAGAAGCGGTCGAAATAAAAACAGAATTAACGGATAGTGATTTTGACAAGATATTCAATTCATTTAGTGAAGCGCAACACCAAACAACTGAGATATACCCATTTGGTCGAGGTGGAATTAGAAGATGAGAACTCAGTGTTCTATAGGTCATTGGTTTGTGAAACTGTCGAAATACGACTACCCTACCGTATACAACAAGGTCGAATGAAATAAAGTCGCAGATGCATTCAGTAAAAATTATTGATGAAGGCTCCACGAGAAGCAAAAGTACCGATCTCGTTAAGTGGATCCAGTGGATCTACGGCTTCTATTTCAATTTTGGTTACTCCTTACGTAGATATTAATCGAATAAATATGTATATATATACTTACTTACTATATGATAGACGGGGATGGACGGTTGCGTTCGGTTATCAGTATTTGATACACTCGTTTACACTATTGCCTATGTTGCCACAGAACTAAAACTAACAGATATAGAATACGTGTTAAGTTTAGTGAAATGGCAGGAAAACCTAATAGTTGTAGGAGACTTCACCGCAGTAATAGGTGAGGGTAAAATGTATGCAACAGCAGGTTCTTTTTGATTAGGCAATAGAAATGATAGCGGAGATAGACTGATAGAAATTTGCGATAAATATAATTTAACCGTCGCGAATATTTTATTTAACCATCACGCTAGGAGGCGCTATACGTGGAAGATTTCAGGTGATTTAAGGAGGTATCAGTTAGATTACATGCTTGTTAGGTACAGATTTAAAAATCAAGTGAAGCGCTGTAGGAGTTATCCAGGAACAAATATAGATAGCGACCATAACTTAGTAGTTATGAAGACCAATCTTAAATTGAAAATTCTGAAAAAGAGGGAAGATAGGAGACGTCTTGAAAAACTAAAATGTAACGAAACGCGTGGTAGGCTAGGTAAAAGGCCAGACGAAATACTAAAGGCCGAGGGAGAAACAAATGTCAGGGACATAGAGACAGAATCAAACTGCATTAAAACGTGCCTAAAGTCAGCAACTACATATATACTAGGTCTTAAACGAAACGAAAGTAGGAAACCCTCGATAACAAATGAGATTGTAGGATTAATAGACGAAAGGTGGAAATACAAAAACAAGACGGACGAAGAAGGGCAAAAAAGATATAAAGCTATAAAGTGGGAAATAATAAGGAAGTGTAGGGCAGCTAAGGAACAGTGGATTGATAGGATGTGAAAAGAAGTAGAAGATAAGTTCGAAGTAGGTAAAACCGATGAGGCGTATAATATAATTAAAAGGAATTTTAGAGATGTATAATATAAGAAACGAGGCAGGGATCCTTTTGATAGGAAATGAGGAAAAGGCAGAAAGGTGGAAAGAATATTTATAGAACCTTTACGAAGGCTATGAGTTCGGAGATATATTAGAGAAGGAAGATAATTTGGAGATAGATGCGCTTGGTTATCCCATAATGAGAGAAGAGTTCGATGTAGCATTAAAAAACTTTAAGAATATAATAAGGCGCCAAGTGTAGATGGGATACAGGAGGAAATTCTAAAACATGCAGGACAAGAGGTTATAGATCGTATGTTTAAGCTAGTTAGTTACGAGTCGGGGAAAGTCCCAAAGGATTATAAACGAACGTAGTAGTAACTCGGATAGGTGCGAGACATTTAGAACAATTAGCTTAACCTCCCACACTTCAAAAATCTTAACTAGAATTGTACAGAGGTGGATGGAAAAAAGGGCGGAAGAACTATTAGGGGAAGATCAATTTGGGTATAGAAGAAATAGAGGAAGGCGGAAGGTCATTCTAGCTTTACTTGTAACAATAAAGAAAACGATAGAAAAAGGAAAGAGTGCGTACATAGGATTTGTAGATTTAGAAAAAGCTTTTGACAATGTTAAATGGGACAATATGTTAAATATATTTAAAAATATAGGGATGAGTTATAAAGATAGAAGAGTGACACTTCGTTTGTATAAAGAACAACAGGCAGTTATAAAGCTAGGGTTGCAACGTACAGAAGTAAATATTATGAAGGGAGTCAGACAGAGATGCACACAGTCACCGCTACTTTTTAATCTATACATCGAAGACGCGATCAACATCATTAAAGACAGTACAATGGTAGGGATAGATATACAGGAGCAAAAGATTAGCATTCTTAGATTTGTAGATGATATAGCAGTATTAGCATCTAGCAATCTAGTTTTAAATAAATGGAAGCGGTACTGACAAAAAAAGTACTGTATGAAAATAAATAAAAGTAAAACTAAAATACTGGTATGTAAGGGAAGAAAAAGTAAGTAAAGGGCGAATATAAAGATAGGAGACGAAAAATTAGAAGAAGTGGCTGATTTTAGATATCTAGGAAGTCAAATAAGTCAGGACGGAAGGAGTAGTAGGGATATAAAGTAGAGGATAGTGCGGCGCTGTACGGATGCGAAACATGGACAGTGGGCGCGGCGGAAAAGAAAAGGTTAGAAGCGTTCGAATTGTGGTGTTATAGGCGAATGATGAGGATTACGTGAATAGAAAAGGTTAGAAATGAAGAGGTATTAGAAAGAATAGGAGAACAGAAGACTCCATGGAAGTCAATAAGAAATAGGCGACATAGGTTGGTAGGACACCTTCTCAGGCATGAAGGTCTAGTCAAAGGTATATTAGAGGCAGACACAGGAATTAGGAGGGGTAGAGGTACCTAGATTAGATTATTAATATAAGTAACCTTTGGTTTCACGTAACTAAATGAAAATGAAAATATTAAAATGTACTCAGGGGTTCGGTCGTGTTCCCGCGTGCTCTGTCGCATATGTCCATGTGTTGAAAATATACAATAATGCAGCCGGATGGTGACACAAACTTAAAAAATTAATCCTTTTGATCTTGGGATGTAATTTGTACCGATCAATTTGCAAATTAATCTAAAAATACG